TCAAATCACCAGCTTGATTCGAAGAGGCTGAGTCCCTTGGAAGGGAGCTCAAACACAGGTTTCAGTAAGCAGATGAATGAAAGGAGGACATGATGGCGCCAGGATATGGTTAAGGAGAAGGAGATTATTGTAGATATGAGGGAGAGTTCAGCCAGAGGCATCCATGAGAGAAGAGAGGGGCGGAGAGTAAGAGAGGGAGGAGAGGGAGAGCAAGTAGGCCTAGAGAGGGAGCCAAGGACCAAGAGAACCAAGAGTAGAGCCAAGAGAGTGTGTGGCCAAAATGACTGGGTTATGTAGGAACCAGAAGCTGCGAGAAGGGAAGGAAAGGGAAGCCCAGCCCCTGGACTGGAGAGGTTTAGGGTAGGGGATGGGGTGAGAAGTGCCTGGAAAAGCCACAGGTACTGGGTGAGCCTTGCCCTGGGTTTCTTTGGGACCTGACACTCATTAAGCTCTTTAGCGGTATAGCAGACTTCCTCATGGACTAAACTTTGTCACTTCTAGGATCCTGCTTAGCCTTGAGGTGGTTTCAAGTATAGGGGCAATCATTGTTGGGCACTGAGGGACATCAATGTTGTCTTGCTTAGCATCGCCTTCAGAAAAGGTCACCACCAGTTCAGCAGATAATGAGGGGTTTATTCCCTCAGGGAAGAGTAGAGAGGGATAGAATTGTATTTAAGGAAAAATGTGCCCATTCTGTTACATAACCCCTGTATCCACCCTATCACTCTCTAGAACTAATTCAACGTTTGGTCAACAAACTAGCCATCATTTGATAGTTTGCCTATTCAGGAATTGCATTTAATATATATGATCAAAAGTTCCACCTTTAAAATATTCACTTTATGCAAATAAGGAAGTGGTATCAGATCTACTCAGAAAACTGTCTGTCTCTCTCTCTCTCTCTCTCTCTCTCTCTGTGTGTGTGTATGTGTAGTAACTAACACATTAGAGATTTGGCCTTTATTAATTCATAAATATAATTGCAAATGTTAGAAACACCATTATAAACTTGGGGATTCTTCTGATAGTAAACAGAAGTGTGTTTTCTTTTATAATTTAAATTTCTAAATCATTTATTGCATATAACATAGCATATAGCAACAACTATTTTCTAGTTTTCTGATTTAACTTACTTGAGTTATATTCACTAACTCACCACTAGAGGTCTCCTCTTTCCATGTAGAAAGCATTCCCACTGGCCACACTGCTTGGGTTTCAAGCAGGAAGTATTTCTCAGATGTCAGTTAGTAAAGCTAAAGTTGAGAACATTAGAACCCACCAGATTTTTAAAACTTTATTTCTAGATATAAATTTAATTTTATTATAATTCAATTTCGGGAAAACATTTAGTGTCTTTAGAAATCATAGCTAAAATAAGTCTGGCCTTGCCTTTATTTAAGCTCAATTAGAAAATGAACCAAAATGAAAACAACAAAGTAGTGAGTTTTCAGAGACTTTGTATTTTACCTGCTTAGTATCAGCCTCTCTGGCTTGACCCTTACACCCCAGTAGCCAGCCACTGAAGACTACTAACGGACAGATACTGATAAGTTTTGTGTTATGTTGAAAAAGGAAACAAGTGTTTTTAGCTTGTTTACCTATGCCTGCTCCTCCCCTCCATGCCTGGTCCCATCCCCCTTAACCTTCTTGATTGAAAACTCTGTGATACAGGGTCTCACAGTGTAGTCTTGAATGGTCTGGAACTTACTATGTAGGCCAGGCTGGCCTTGAATTCACATCTTCTGCCTCTGCCTAAAAAGTTAATCTGGAATGAAGTGTCCCCCTTCCCCCCTTTTTAGGCTTTTTTGCATAATCCATGCCTCAAGGAACCATATTGGATAATGTTTGTGTTTGCATGTCATCTGTCTTCTCCATGAAACTATGGGTTGTAAGAGAACAGGGCGGGATCTTTCTTTGTACTTCTCCTGTTGCTGCTTTGCCTCACCATTGCTAGTTTGCACACATTCAGTGAGAATTTATGGATGGATGGATAGATAGATAGATAGATAGATAGATAGATAGATAGATAGATAGGTGTGGCATTTAAATGAGAGTCTGGGTAAGATTTTTCACAGATGAGGTCGGGTGGAATGAATACAGGGAATAGCCTGAGTAGAGGATGAGAAAGCCCAGCGTTGTTAATGAAATCGGCAATAAGCAAGTTGTTCAAGATGGATATAGGTGGAGAGAGCTTAACAAAAATCTGGAAAGGCTGAGGCTGTGGGATGTAGCAGACATGGAGATTCGTGGTGATGAGAACAGCCTTGGAAGGAAGATGAAGATAAAGATGAAGACTTAGATGTTGTCAGTTGAGTAGTAGAGTGTTTGCCTAATATACTCAGCTCTCTGTCAGGTCCCAGCACTGTCAAAAAGAGGGAGGGGTTGGGGAAAGACAGGAGGAAAGGGGAGAGGAGAGAGGCCTGAGAAAGGTATTCCTGAGGTCTCCTCCTCCGGCTCACATCTCACTGCCCTAGCGTCCCATGTCCTCAGCTTTAAAATGCTTCCCACTCCAGCATCTTTTAAATCTTCTCTCTCTTATTCTAGAATCACCCAGAGCCCTGACTGGTAGGAAAGAGTACTAGGTTCAAATGCAACCCTGACACAAATTAGCTATGAGACATTGAGCAAGGTCTTTCAAGTACATGCATTTATTAATGCCCCACCTTGTTCCAGAAAGGATTTAGAGTGTCAGCATGTTACTTAATATCAAGGCTTTAGTTTCTTCATCTCTAAATGAGATGTTCCATGTAGCTGACCTAAGTTCCTTCTAACTCTAACACTTTGTGAATCTGATTCCAATGATTTTGTTGGTCATCTTCCCTTAGGAATCCCACCAACACTTTATATTTAGAATTTGAAAAACAGAAGGAAAAGAAATTGAGCCCATAACGATCTCTTGTTCTTGTACTGCAGTGTGTATGTATGCATCTGTCTATGTCCTTTGTGTTCACATGTGTGTGCTTGTATGTGGAGGTCAGGGTCAATATGCAGTGTCTTCTTCAGTCATGTTCTGTTGTGTAGCATCCACCAGAAAAGACTGCTTGGACATGGGGTTAGGCCAATAGAAAGCCTTTGTTAGCCGGCGGGTGATTACACTGGATGTTTGGGATCCCAGTTTAACCCTGAGCCTTTCTTGGGGGTGAAATTTTAAATACAAAAACCATGTTCTGGGTTGATGTGCTTCAGTTAAAAAGAACAGTTATCCAGAAGCAGAACTACAAAAGCCAAAAAACAAGGTTAGTACATTTAGAGACTTCCCCATAATTGCAGACTTTGATGGAGTAGGTCTTTGTTTTTACTTTGGCAGGTGGTGCTGTTTGCATGCTGAGTGTTACAGCCTGAATGGTACTTCCATTGAGGAGTTGGTTGTGCTAAGGGGGCAGTCTGGGGCCCTGTTACCTTATTTTTAGAAGGTCTCACACTGATCCTGGAGCTTGCCAATTAGTCTAGATTGGCTGGCCTGCAAGGATTCCTTCAGTCTCTACATCCCCACTACTGGTGTTATAGATGCATGCTGCCAAATAGGCTTTTTACATGAATGCTAGGATCTGAACTCAGGTCTTCTTGTTTGTTGGCAAGCATTTTACTCACTGAGCCATCCTCTTGATACTGGTTTCTGATAATGACTTCACCATTACACCAGTGGTCCAGGACCAAAACTTAGTATCATCTTCAAGTCCTCTACCTCTTGTCTCTGTATGTCCCCTACTGAGCCATACAGACTCTTAACTCTAATGTCATTCCATCCTTCTGTAACTAAGTCCTATCTTTGAGGTCCTTGTTAGCTATTTCTGGGCCATTCTGTATTTACTTATTTGTTTACTTTGAAACAGACTGTAGCTATATTGCTCAGTATAGCATCAAATTCCTGTGCTCAACTGATCTTCCTGCCTCAGCCTCTGAAATAGCTAGGATCGAAGGACCATGTCACCATACTTGCCTTTGGTTTTGATGTTACTGTCTGAGTAAATTTCTTGGAGCACACAGCTTTAACAATGCCAGTGCTCTGTTCTGACATCCCAGTGACTCCGTACTGTTTGCAGAATGTGGTCCAGATATCTTGGCTGCAAGGCCTTCCGTGACCTAGCAGCGAGTGTCTGACTCTCCTTGTCCTGACCCCCATGCACAAACCAAACTATGTATAGAAAGCCTAAATTTCCTACCTTGACTTAAAACCTAGCATAACTGCCTAGGTTTTCTGTTGAGTCATCTCTGCCTTTATTTTAAGTCTTTCAAGGCATGTATCAAGTCTTGTCATTTATTTGAACTAATTGGTGACTTATCTTGAGCCTCTCCTCCCTGGGTTCACTTGTAATTTCCTCAAAGACAGAGAGCACATTTCACTTTTCTTGCAACCCTTAACCCTCACGGCTGGTCCACAATGAGAGAAGTTGAATTGAGATAAATCTATGGAGACCTAATCAGAAATTATTTTCTCAGCTGCTCATGGCCAGCGATCATCTGAACAAATCATCTCTTTTTCACAAAGGAGAAAATCCAGGGTCAGCCAAGTGAAATTCTTGCTCAGCTCCCTCAGCTGCCATGCGTAGGGTTGTCTGCTACTCTGGTGATCCACTTGTGTTGTTATCCTAAATAGATCTGCTTTTATCTCCCTGCTTGGATGGAAACACTAACTTTGTCTCACTGTTCCCTACAGGACTATAGTTTGTCATTTTGTTTTTGAAATGTGTATTGAAGTGGAGCTGGTTTGAACAAATCAGTAGTTATACAGAGACTATACATGAGGGGGCAGCACTGCAGACAGGCAAGGTTCAAACAATGAAGTTTAAGCTAAGGGGACCTTAGACAGCACCTAGTACCAACTAATCATTTTGCAGCAAATAAGAAACAAACAAAACCCAAGAGTTACAGACAGAGGTGACTGCTCAGTAGCATCAGCTCTGTTGGCACAGAGTCTTGACACTGAAGCTGAGCAGTGAGTTACTAGATCTGTGGGACCCTGCTTGCTGGCTGATGAGAATACTGTTTTGTGTATCTAGATCAATGATGATGTTTGGAAAAATTTCGAGGCAGCTCTTCAGCTTAAAGAAAATCCCATGGTCATGTGACTCCAGATACTTCTGGGAATGGTTGAATACAGTGTTTAATAAGTAAGTGATTCTAATTATGTGAAGAAATGTGAAGATTTCTACAACTGGACAGGCTAAATTGCTCATTGGCTAGACAGTTATTTCTTGTGTTTCAAATCATTTCAATTATTCAAATTATTTTTAAATAATAAATATAGTATGATCCTAATTTTTTCTTACAAACAATAAAACATACTTAAACAGAAAAATAGCTTACAAAATAATACATTTGCTTGTCTGAGTTATAGAATGTTAGTTTTTCCTTTTTTAATATTTATTCATTTTATTTTATGTGTATGTGTGTGTTGCCTGCATGTATGGATATGTACTATGTATGTACCTGGTGCCCACAGAGGTTGGAAGGGCATCAGAGCCACCATGCGGGTGCTGGGAACTGAACCCACATCCTCTACAAGAGCACTTTGTGCTCTTACCCAACAAGCACCACTCCAGCCCCATGTAGGTTTTTTCTTATTTGTCTGTTGATGCCCTTCAAGTTTTCTAAAGTGAATATTTATTCTTTTTATACTGAATAGTATTTGCAACTTTGAAATGCCATATTCTCTAGCTTCTTGAGGAATGTTATTAGCCTTTTGAATACTACTAGGAGAACTCTGGTATTTAGAAACTTAGTGTGCCTAGATGTGATGGCTCACACCTTTAATCCCAGTACTTGAGAGGCAAAGGCAAAACAATTTCTATGAGTTCAAAACCAGCCTGGTCTAAATAGTAAGTTCTAGAACAGTTAGGACTACATAGAGTAAATAAAATAAATAAAGATAAAAAGTGAAAACTAGCCGGGCAGTGGTGGCGCACGCCTTTAATCCCAGCACTTGGGAGGCAGAGGTAGGCGGATTTCTGAGTTCGAGGCTAGCCTGGTCTACAGAGTGAGTTCCAGGACAGCCAGGGCTACACAGAGAAACCCTGTCTCGAAAAACCAAAAAAAAAAAAACAAAACAAAAAAAAAAGTGAAAACTTAGTATATGGTAAAATTGTAGAAGTACCATATTAAAACAGGTATAGCAAACCCTTTCTTACTGCTAAATATTACCATTGTGACTACAAAGTAGAGAAAAAGGCATTTGCAGAAATTAGTAAATAGCACAAGACTAATTGGAAAATGGGTTCAAAATTATTCCCTCTTTAATTGTTTGTTTGTTTGTTTGTTTGTTTGAGACAGTCTCTCTGTGTAGCATTGGCTGTCCTGGAACTCAATATGTAGACCAGCCTGGCTTCAAACTCGTAGAGATCCAGCTGCCTCTGCCTCCCAAGTGCTGGGTTTAAAGTGTGAGCTACCACACCTGGCTTCTCTTTAATTTTTTTTATCAGTAATGAAAATGGTTAACAGATAGTTACTATATTGTGATAGGGATCTCTACTGACAAGCTCTGTGACATGTATGAATGCTTGCCTAACATAGGAAGGATCTGGGTTCAAGCCCCAGAATAAAAACAATAAATAAAATAAAATCCCATCATGCCAGGTATGAGAGCTTGTACCTGTAATCTCACCACTGAGGAAGCAAAAGGGAAAACATCCTGAGTTTAAGGCTAGCCTAGCTGGTACAGTGAGACTCTACCTCCAAAATCTTAGTAATTATATTGATATTGATCTATCTTGTAAACTAAAGCAAAAAAAAAAAAAAAGAAAGAAAAGAAAAAATATAAGAAAGAAAAAAGGGAACAGAAAACTGCAGCTTTTATTTCCATGGATCCCATCAATTCAGTCATTTGAAATAAAAATATATTTCTGGTCCTTATTTGTTTGTTTGCTGACTGTTTTTTGTTTTTGTTCCCCCTCCTTGCACTCCCCCATAGGTTTTTCTCTGTGTAGCCCTGGCTGTCCTAGAACTCACTCTGTAGACTCGAGATCTGCCACCCCTGCCCCCTGCCCCCTGCCCCCAAGTGCTAGGCTCAAAGGCCTGCACCACGACCACCCAGCGCTGGTCCATGCTTATGTTGGTGAACACAACTAAGAAGCTAGTGACAATGGAAGTGACCTGCTTCTTTTTTCTTGTCAACAGAGTAGATTATGAACGAATCAAGGATGTTGGCCCTGACAGGGCAGCATCTGAGTGGCTACTTCGGTGTGGAGCCAAAGTACGCTACTGTGGCCATCAGAAGTGGTTACAGGACTATAACAAACTCCCAGGAGGCTCCGTGGACAGATACAAGATTCAAGCAATTGATGCCACCGATTCTTGTATCATGGACATTGGGTTGGAACACATGGGTAAGTCCCCGTCATTGGCTTTTGGGGCATGCAGGTGGTCTGCAAGGAATGTTTTGTTACAGTTGACTCACTCTGATAGTCATGGGTATGTTTTTGTATTTAGCCCATTTCAGGAAAATTAAGTTTGTTTTTTTCCTGTGTTTGATGTTTATTTCAGAGTAAAGTAAATAGAGATCACATACACCTTTCCCCCTCTCCCTCATGAGCTTCTTTCTGAATTCTTTTCGCTTTAAATCCAAAGCCTGTTTGATTTTTGTCAGACTATCTTTGTCAAATTTATGCCTCTGTGAACTGCTCAGTGACATAAGACTAATTATATCCAGATGGCTTGTGCTCAATTCTTCCCATGCATGGGCATGTGACTTCAGTGGCCCCTCCATCAGCACAACATGTGTTATGAATATGCTATATGGTTAACAGGGTGAGCAGTCACTCCAGTTTTCATAGAAAGCCAGGACAGTTCTGTCCTAGGTGAACCAAGAACTGTTAGTCATGGGAACAGTAAAAAGGATTCTTAACTGTACTTTTCCCCCCAGTGGGTCTAGAGCATGTTGAAAAAATAACACTATGCAAGTGTCATTATATTGAAGATAATAGTTTGCAGAGGCTTAGTCAACTTGAAAATTTACGAAAAAGCCTATTGGAATTGGAAATAATTGCCTGTGGAAATGTCACAGACAACGGCATCATTGCTTTGCGACATTTTAGGTAAGTGGTCAAAACCAAACCAAAAACTTGATAGAATGAAAATTCAGAATATATAACAGTTTAGAGATGATGTCTGTAGTTCTAAGAATATACTTTAAAAATATGAACTTTACATTTTGTTGTTATGTTATGTATATAAATAGCTTGCCTGCATGTATGTTGATGTACCATGTGCATGCAGTGCCCTCAGAGGCCAAAAGAGGGCATTGCATCCCCTAGAATTTGAGTTACAGACAGTTGTGAACCACCATGTGGCTAGTCCTCTGGAAGGACAGACTGTCCCTGTAGCCACTGAGCCGTCTCCCAAGAGTGTGAACTCAGCAGTTAAGAATGCTTGCTATGCAAACATGAGGAACAGGGTTTGGATCCTAGCACCCAAATAAAAGCCAGGCATGGTCCCACTCAGTCTTGCAACTTCAGCACTAACAAGGGCAGGGATGGGAAGAGTGCTAGGCGTCCTGGATACCGGTCTAGCTGAAAAACTGGGGGAAGACTGATAGCAGAGGGTACTCAGCACCTTCTTCAAGCTTCTGTGTGTTCACATGTGTGTGCACATTTATACATACATACACACACAGTCCCCACAAAAGACCCCATTTTTTTTCTTCCTTCTTTTCTTTTTTTGTAGTCTTGGCTGGCCTTGAACTTGCTATGTAGACCAGGCTGAGTTCATAGAGATTTACCTGCTCTGCCTCCTGAGGTCTAGGGGTGAAAGAGTGCACTATCATACCTGGCCTCATTTTTACCTGTAAGCCTTGACAATCAATTACCAGCCTAAGTGTGATAATGGGTTTATTATATTAAAAGAGCAGTTTTTTAAAGTAAAGTAGCATAAAGCACTTGTCATAATGCCTACCATAGTAAGCCTCTATAAGAGAAAGCTGTTATGTTTTCTCTGCCTTTAAAGCCATTTCCCTGTGGTTTTGGCATCTGAGTGGCATTTGGTATATAGCAATTAGCATTTAATTATATAACTAAGTTGACTTAAAGGGGAAAAAATCCTTGAAATAGTCACTTTTCTGCCTCTGGTAGCTAGAACACTGTCTGGTACTAATGCATTTCAAAAGTACCATGGGTTGTTTTGAGAAAGCTGATCTATATCTCTTTTCACCACTAACCAGACCCATGGCATGGCCTAGAGTAAGTTGTCCCATCTAAAAGCAGAAGCGAACTCCTAGCAAGGACTGTTTATTCTAAAGGTTCCATGGGCCAGGAGTGTAGGTCAGTGTACCATGCCTGCCTGGCGTACAGCGCCCTGGCGTAGTGGACAGCAGGGGAGGGGATGTCACAGGGTTCTCAGTTCTATCAGATAATGACAAAAGCATGAAGTCAGTTTAGTTGGATCTTGTTTTATTCATCCTAGCATTCAGACTCTGGGCTGCTTGGTGTATATGTTTTAATATGCAATGGATCCATCAGAATCTCAGTACCACAGGCAGCTTGAGATGCTTGAAACATAGAAGCAAAAGTACTAAATCGTTCATCTCAGCACTAGCTGAGGCTTCAAGACTTCCTCTATTAGAAACTTGAATACCTTTAAGAACTTACCCCTGCCCTTGGAGTGCTGTTGTTTGTTTGCATTATTACTAGTATTTTACATACAAAGGAGATGTATATAGAAATAAAACAAAACTAAAAAAATTGATGAAATAAGGAAAAATTACAATTTTAAAGTCTTATATGAGGAGTTTCATTTAACGTGACCTCCCCCCCACTGTTGCTCTGAGGAGCCATTGTAAACACCTTCTGCATGTTTTTTTTTAAATCATATAAACTAAATTCATTTTTAAAGCTATAAAAGGCCACAGTGAAGTGATTGTTTTTTCTCTATTTGCAGGAACCTCAAGTATTTGTTCTTATGTGATCTTCCTGGAATAAAAGATAAAGAATACCTTGCCCAAGTCCTTACGACAGCACTGCCTTCTCTGGAACTAAAATTAAACCTGAAGTAAAATAAGTGTCTGGTTTCACTATTAAGGATCACTTGAAATTGCTGATATTAGATAGCTACAAATATTACATAATCACCAATAGAACTGTGAAAATGATTTAGAAGTGGAGAATGGATGTCAGGAAGAGAATAAATAATCAAAAGTGACTCACTAAAGTTACTTAGTTGGAAGTGAGAAATTATGTACATCGAATCATTTTTAAAAATACAGCATAGCATTTTAATTCTAATGTATTTCTCAGTGATATATATATATATGTAGATGTTAATGTAGAGTTCTTTAAACTGCAATGCAAGTATTCTTTCTTACAATAATTTATATCACATTGAGGCATGTTACTGTAAATGTACAATTATGAAAACTTGAAAGCTCAGTTACAGATTCACTGATGGAATCCATTGTACAGAGTTGTCAGTGGTGTTGAGAACAGTGTGCTGTATTGCTTCCCAGGATTTGCATGATTGCTCAAGCTCCTGCATTGCTGCATTCCTAATAGTGAATACTTTTAAAAATACCCTTTCTCAGAAAGAGAGGTGCTGGCTTCTTTGTCCTACTTTAAAGCTTGGGCTACTTCCTGCTGTTTAAAACAGAAGGCAGTACTTATCTACACCCAACTAGTTTTGCTGGTAAAACAAACAGAGGAAACAGGCTACTCTACTCCCCATCTGCTTCAAACAGGAATATGTGTCTGTTAGAAGCTAATTTTGCTATCTCTCAAATACTTTGAATTCCACCTTCTATGAACTCAAGGTATATAAAAATATAAATACAAAAATTAATTTTATGTCTAGAAAACACTAATAAAGAATGCCATAAGTAGACAAAGATTAGTCTTTAATTTCTTGAAATAGCTGCACTTGAAATAGCTGTACTTAGAACTATGCTTAAGGAAAACCACCCTAATTCATGGGGAAGTACAAATTACATACAGCAGAAGTCAGAAGACAGTAATAAAACAAGAACAAGGTAAAACATTGTAGACTGTCGAATGTGATGTGTAGTGACCCCACAGGAGGGGTCAGGAAGAGGTTTGCAGAAGGTTCCGTTGAGGATAAGCATACATGTAAAAGACAAGTCCTTCTATCTTGGGTTTGTTTCAGTACTGTGTGGTCCAACAGCAAACTCATCATGATTTCATCTGGAGTGACTTTGCTACTCTAATGTGTTCTGTAAAACTACTGGATAAAACAGGCAGTTACAGGCATCCACTTTCATCAGATATATTTTTATTGATTTAAGGTGGGGAAAGGCAATTTTAATTATTCTCAGAAGTTAATATCCTTCCTTGTCATTTAAATCATGGCTATTTAAGAAGAATTGAATAATCCTGGAGCTGTCATTTAACCCACTGTCATGTCTATTGTAGAAACTATATAAATTTAGGAAGCCTTAGTTTGCCTTAGAGTAGCCAAGAATATCAAACAGATGATAGGATTTAGTGAACTACATAGCAGCAAGTGATGCCGTGAAGTTAACACAGGAAGGAAACAAGAGTACAGAAGAAACGTTCTGAAAGTGCAGTAAAGCAGAGCTTTGAAATCCATGCCTGAGAACTCCCGTGAGCCAGCAGCACATCAGCCAGAAATGTTAGTGAGAAACTGACATGGGGCTAACATTGCCTGTGTCCAGGGACAGGGGAGAAAAACTTTTCTATTAGGAGTAATAAACCAAATCAAAGGTAATTTAATTTTAAGCCTCACTGTTTAAAACTAAGAATGCTTGGCAATATTTTTTAATCACTTTCTTATTGGTTGTTCCACATTTGTTAGTATATACATACACATTTGTGTGCTCACAGACATTTACACATCTAATAAGATAATTCAAGGAGAGACTATCAATTAACTTATATGTTTCCTGATTGAAGATAATGTTCACAAGCAGCCATGTCTACACCCAGATCATTGTGTGAGTTTTGCCTAAACAGTCTTCAGTCTGAGCTGAAGACTGAAGAGAGAGTTACTTTTAGGTTGACAGGTCCATTCAGTGCATTCTGTGAGGCCTGTGGATCTTGTTCTCTCCTTTCCTGATCTTAAAGATAAAAGTATATGTAAGACATATAAGGATCTCATTGGTTATAAAAGCGTAAAAACTGCTAAGTTTTAAGATAATCTGTATGAGTCTAGATATTTAGATCAACTTAGATAATTCTAAAAAATTCTTTAAACCATAAAAATCAAGAAAGAGCAAACAAGAAATAGAATCCCAAACATTTTGATTTCAGGGACTAAAATCATACTTAAATATGATTTGCAAATACCACAGGAGATAGGACTCAAGGCAACACATTGAAAGAAATGTATATGGACATTTCTTGATCCACTTTGTGCGTGTGGCAGAGAGCAAACTGAAGCATAGGTCTTTGACATATCTAATGTTGCGGCTGCGGGCAGTGGTCCAGTTTATATTCTGTCCATCAGTGCTGCTGCTTAGATAAACAAACTCAGGGAAACCCCAAGCTTTTGCTTTCTTCTTGGATATCTCCACCAAGCTTGGAAGTCTGGATCTGGAATTTCTCTTCATTTTCTGGCAATGACCTCCAGCTTCCTGTTTGTGTTTTCTCCTGATGTGTGTTCAAGACAGGAATCAAATGTGTACATTTTTTTCTTCAAATTATTGATCAGTTCTTCATTACTCTGCCAGCTCCTTAAATATTTGGAAAATGGTAGTTGAATTTCTTGGTACTACAGTGATACTTCTTACTGTCCAGAGCTGGAAGGATACTGCTGCTTGTTAGCTGAGGTAGGTACTGCAGCTGAAAACACAACACAAAATCAGGTCCAAAACTCAGCCATGTAGAAAGCATCACAAAACAAAACATAGTGTTGGAGATACAGGAATAAGTATGTCCCATCTAAATCCAGAACATGAGAGAGGGAGAAATGTTTTAATTTGGTTTCTTCCTTTTAAAGATGTGTTTTATTTTTAAAAAGCAATCCAAGCTAGGCATTTTGACACTCCAGAAGCAAAAGTAGTAGGATCTCAGTGGAAACAGCCTGGGCCACATAATGAGACCTGCCTCAGAGCAAAGCGAACGAACAAAAAGCAACCAATGCCTTGGGTTAAGTCTCACCATCATACACTCAGACATACAGACCCGGAGCTGTGCCTCAGTAATAACCTGCTTGTTTACATGTGGGAGGCCTTAGATTCCAACCCTAGAACCAGAAAGAAGCGTGGGAGAGAGAGAGGGAGGGGGGGAGGGGGAGAGGGAGGGGGAGAGGGAGAGAGAGAGAGAGAGAGAGAGAGAGAGAGAGAGAGAGAGAGAGAGAGAGAGAGAATTTAAAGACTGAAAAATCAGGAGGTATCTTCATTATTGGGGAACAAAACAGTGTTTTATTTACAGTGTTTGAGACTATCATGTAACCCACAGCCCTGTGTAGCAGAGAAAACGTGCATAACACATAGGCACATTGTCCACTTCTATAACTAAAAAGGCAACAAATCTGACTCCTTCGATCTTCCAGAAAAACAATTGTCAATGTGAAGAGAAAATAAGAACAGGCCTATATAGTTTTTAATTTGTACCATGGGACCTTAGGAATCTGGAAAGAAGATACTCTCTAGTTCTTTTAAGTCAAACAATCCTTCAGGATTTCAACACACCAAACAGTGAGGTTCTTTATTCTTCCCAGTAGAAATATTTGCAGCAGGTCTCTTTGCTCATGAGCACAAAGTAGCACAGCAATGGGGAATGCTCAGTGTGGAGAGAGCAAGACTTCAGCCTCATTTACTCACTGAGTCATAGATAACAGAGAATTAAAAACATCGCCTGATTTCATAACCATGATCCACCTCAGAGCCCTGACATTGAGGAAGCACTTACTCCTAATAACCTCTCCATCTCTTCCCTGCCTGAACCACCTACACACCATCCAGGTGTGTATTTGAGGAAGCTGGGGATACAAAGGAAAGATTGACTGTGGTGGTTTAAATGAGGCTGGCCTTCGTAGGCTCATATATTTTGAATACTTGTTTTCTAGTTGGTAGAACTGTTTGGGAAAGATGAGGAGGTGTGGCCTTGTTGGAGAAGGTATGTCACTGGGGGTGGGCTTTAAGGTTTCAAAAGTACTGGAAAGTCTTTCTGTCTGCTTCCTGTGGATAAAGATGTATGCTTTCAGCTACTGTTCCAGCACCCTGCCTGCCTGCCTGCTGCTGCTGTACTCCCAACCATGATGGTTATGCACTCACCTCTGAAACTGTAAACAAGCCCCAGATTAAATGCTCTCTTTCATAAATTGTCTTGGTCCTTGCATCTCTTCAAAGCAACAGAGGAGTAACTAAGACACTAAGGCAAGATAATTTGAACCTTAAGTTTCTGCGTGGATCCAAAAGTGATCAAGAACAGCCAACCCATCTTAGCTATAGTTCAACTAGAGTCTAGATTATTACAGATTTTTGCCATTTAAGGCTGCATAACCCACTTTACACCAGTCAGGATTCTTCACGGATCCATGTATGCAGCTGGATCCTGTTCTGTGGTTAAAGGTGCTATCCAGCAGGCCCTTGTTGCTGTGTTTATCTTCACCAGCCCTGACAAAGCAGAAAGGAAACAATTCCATTTGGGGAGAAACCTGCAGTGTTAACACTGGAGGTAACATGACAAAAGTCTACTTTGGATCAACAGCTGAACACACGTGATGTTCAACCTGAGTTCAAGTACATGAGCTTGACTCCTGTGTAGCATCAGGAAGCATGGGAAGGATAACTTTAGGACTTGGAAAAGATCCTTAAGAAGCAAATGTCTCTGAGGCCCTGGTTGATAATTCAGATGACCTGTCTCCTATTTCTGAACTGAGGATGCTGGTGCTGCAAGCCACAGTTGTCACTCAGCCTAGCTCCCAACTCAGTACCAGGTAACAGGTATAAGATCATTTAAAACTGTAAGCTTAGATGTTTCTGTAAGGCAGTTTTACCCCAGTCAAGTGCTTTCTACTCTGCCTCAGGGTCTTCCTTGATGGTTTGTCATGTTGTCTTGTCAACTCCCCAACTTCTCGAATGCTGTCAAAATACGGATGCTGCAACAGCTGTTCACATGTCAGCCTCTCTGCAGGGTCCATGTGGAGGCAGCCCTGAAAGCACAGAAACCCCCTTCATGCCTTTGAAATTGCAGTAACTTATATTCTACTTCTTTGAAAGACTGAACACTTTTAGTTTTAACCATTTAATTTTTTTCTGAAATGTTTAAAGTTTAAGTGCATGAGTATTTTGCCTCATGTATGGAAGCATACCACATGCATGCCTGATGCTCACAGAGTTCAGAAGAAGGCATTGGATCCTCTGGAACTGGAGTTAGAGATAGTTGTGAGTCACGTGGATACTGGGAACCAAACCCTAGTCCTCTACAAGAACAAGTGCCCCTAACTGCTGAGCTCTCCAGCACCGATTTTCAACATTTTTAATTGACATATAAAATTATAGAAGTTTAGGGGGTGCAGTGTGATAGATACATGCATACAAATGTGTATGTAGCTTTTCCTTTTTCTTAAACATTTACCATTTCTCCATTATGAGTCTTAACTCTTCTCTGGTTCATAAAATATACAATAAATTATTGTAAGTCATATCCCCCTGCTGTGCTGCTGCACACGAGAACATATCCCTGTGTGTGCATTAGCATCCTTTGTGCAGCTTCTGTCTCCCTGCCCTTCCTAGCCTCTGGCAACCACCATTCCACTCTCCACATGTATGAAGTCAACCTGTTTTAGCTTGAGCATGCGTAACAAATGGATTCTCTGTGAATCACTAAACACTCTCGGAAACAAGAAACGATAAGTGTTGGAAGCGGGTTTCCTCCTTGTGTGCTTGAGGCGTTTGGTGGCCTGCCACGGGTATGCGATTCTGGAGTTCAGCTCAGTGGCCAACGGGAATAACTCACTTAGCAATTTTTGTACTTTTACTCCGAAATTAGATTCATACGTGGTAGAAATAACGTTCATGGTGTCATCAGTCTGCACCAGTCTGGTCCTTCCCTTTCTAGGGTCTGCCAGCTTTTTTGATAGCTAGATCTAGAAACAGTCTGTGCATTACAAGCATATCTGTACACAAAGACACAGACCTGTCTCAATTTTGTATTTGTTCTTTAACAATTTTGTGTACTTATATAGCATCATTCCTGAAATACTGGGAAATTGTACATTGCAAATTGGTGCTGTACCACATTTTACATGATCTGTGTTTCTAGAAATATATATGTAAACCAACTTTAAAATGTACATAGTAGTTGATTATTTAAAATTTTCCTTACTTTTATTTTATATGTATGATACCTGCATGTATGTATATCTGTGCACAATATGTGTGCGGTGCCCATAGAGGCCAGTAAAGGACATCAGAACCTCTGGAACTACAGTTACAGACAGTTGTGAGCTGCCATGTGGGTGCTAGGAGTTGGACCCCAGTCTTCTGGAATAGCTGTCAGAGCTCTTAACCCCTGAGCTATCTCTGAATCCTGGGAGTTGGTTATTTAAATCATCCAATAGCTGTGGATGTTTTTTGAAAGAAAGGATTGTTTTGTAAAACACTCCCCTTAAAATGTCCATTTTGTATAAACTTAGAATTCCAATAGAAGCTTACTTTTTATTTAAAGTGAAAAACACATATTTTCACTAATAGTAGAATGAGACCCATTTTAAAATTAAAGGTATATAACTTTTCAAAAGAAGGATTTTAAAGAAATATTTCATCAATTGACAATTCTGTCAACTGTGTGCTTCCTGGTCCTTTGAAAGCCCTAGGACTTTACCTTTAAGAAGCCCAGTGCAGAGTAGGAGATGTTTGGAAACTTCAGCTCAAGTGTTTCCTGTTGAAAAGAAAAGGGACTTTTAGATGACAGCACACGTTCTAATTAAAAATCCCTCACACTACATTTCTTTTGAGTAGACGTACCTTCCTGGCATCTTCCTTGCCTCCTCCACCCTTTTCTACCATGCCTCCCACCAGTAATAATCCCCTTGTGACTGCCATAAACTTCTCCCTCCACCTCCAAAATGCCTTTCCAATTTTATTTCCTGGCCACTCACTTCCCTTCCTGAGGAAGGCAGCATTATAAATAAATAAGCAAATACCAGTGGGGAAGGACAAAACAAAAGCAGCAATACCAATAGACACGTGCTGAGGTATGGGAGTGTGTGCACCCGCACAAATGCGCGTGTGTGCACATTTTGGTTTTGTGTTGTTTTTTCTTTACATTGTATAAAATGCCTTTCTTGACAATGACTTTTGACACTTAAATTAACAGCATTATCAAAGTAGGCACTAATCTATTAGTAGTAGGCATCTATTGACATCTGCATAAAGGGAGCGTCAAAATACATTTTATCCCTACCCAGATAGACACACTCTTGTTGGATTTCTGAAAGAAACACTGTTGTCACCTCTGACACATGCCTGCTGTTTTTCTGATCGGCCCACGGTTTAAAGAACCTTCGTAGAAGGCTCTTGTTAATCTGCCTGGGTCCAAAATAAGGCTGGTGTGCTCCCATCACTTGGTTGGGAGTGACACTGGGAATGGGAGGAAGGCTGTGAATGGGCAAGGTAAAGAGCCATCACACTGAGAAAGCTGACTGAAGATGAACGCTTAACAGAGTCAAAGACCACAGTACATTGTGAGTGCACTGTGAATATGTAAGGTGCTGAGCTGAGGGCCGGAGCAATTGGCCAGGCTCATCTAAAGCCGGGGTCTGGGGTTATACTCCAGAGCTTCAGAGTTCTTTTAGACAGGGAGCCAACCTCAACATAAGTTCCCAGTTGCACACCTGCTAATGAGCAAGAATCCTTTCCATTAGCTTTGCCCCCACAACTTTAAAAGCTCTTTCTATCTATCTAATGCAAGTACTGCCATGGTTCTCAGGAACAATGCCTGCCACTTGGCTGGAATACACAGACCCCTCCTGCCTGCTGAATCAATTCCCCAGCCCCAAGCAGCCAGCAGGCCTTGCTAAGTGGGAGAGGGTACAGAGCACAGCCATGTGCTGCTGCTTCCTGTGTTTCTGTCCACAGGAAATTCCTTGTAGGACAACCTCTTGGAACCAGGGGATGCTCTTCATGTTTACAGAGCAGAGGCTGTTTCTTATGCCTCAGCCAGGAAATTGCTAAGGGATATTTGGTGCACAGCTGGGGATGTCCAGGTCACAAGGGAGCAGTGGGTCACTTCCCAGAAGCCAGGTGCTGTTCTTGCCTCTTCATCCCAGCATGACCCACTTTTCCTAAAACTGGTAGTGCTGTAGGGAAATGGGAGCTTTGTTGGTGGGACAAAGACAGAAATACAACCCAGCAGACCAGAGGAACTTCCATCTGGAAACTGATGTGTTAGGTCCCATCTGAAAGCAGTTAATTATGCCCTGAAATTCTATTATTACTGTTTTCTTTGCAGTGCTAGCAACCCACCAGGGCCTACTGGGTAAGTACTCTAATGCTGAGCTATACTCTCCCCCCCCCAAGTTATGAAATACTTTTTACTACATTATAGACCCATTAGAAGACATTTCAAAAATGTAAGGAAAAAAATAAGGAATGAAAATAGAATCCACTCCAAATCTCACTACAAAGAGCTAACCACTGTAAACTGGACATAGTAGTGCACACCAATGACCATAATACTTGACAGGCAAGATAATCAGGAGTTTAAGGGTGGTCTAGACTATCCCCAAAACAAACAGGAAACAAAGAGAGAAAGATACCCTCCTTAACTATTTATTTAACAAATGTAAAGAGGTTTGCATAAAGTGTGGCATATGCCTGTGATCTCAGCCCCCAGGATCATGAGGTTGGAGAAAAGTTCAAAGCCAGGGATAAGAGGTGACTGAGCTGGTAAATTCTGGCTGCTTTTCTGGAGGACCAGAGTGTAATTCTCAGCACTTGCTGCTGGCTTAAGACAATCTTTAACTCCAGGGGATCCAGCTATCTCTTCTGCCCTCCACGGATACAAGCATACAAGTGGGGCACAGACATATATGCAAACAAAAACACTCATATTCACAAGCAAATAAAATATTTAAAAGTTCAAAGCCAGCCTGGGCTATAAGCTGAGACCTTATCTCAAGGGAAAGAGAAAGTAAAATTTTGCATGACTTCCCAGTGGTTCCCATCTTTTTAATATTTATATGTGCATATATATTTTATTAAACACTTATTTGAATCAATAGATTAAATTATACTGTTTACTGCTATTAACCAGTATATTTACAGTATAAACAGTATAAAATATTAAAATTATACTTTCTCATTCAACAACCTGTTGTAGATTTTTCCAGATAGATGAATACAGATCTAGGTATGTTTATTAGCCCCGTGACAGCTACTGCACAAATGTACTTAAACTTAACCTCTAATACTAAAGGCAATAATGTAAACGCTACACCGATATACCCTTGTTTAATGGTCTTATTGGGATACATTATTCAAAGTGGGTTGGGGAGATAAGCATTTAGATTCTCAGGCCTTTCTAAAGGAGCGTCTTCCACATTAACCATACAGGAGGAGGGGCAGCAGAAAGGGGGCATGGTGATGTTGCTCCATATTCTGGAGGGCGAGTTAACAGGAGAAGAGAAAATTTGGGCAATGCTGGGGGAAGGGAGCTGCTTCCATGGGTGAACCAATGTTTAGGTTTGCTTAAACGTTGATTGGCTCTGAACGATCTGTGCTCAGTCAAGGACTGGTAATGATCAGGACAGTCCTGCTTTCCTATCTCACAGGCTGGCTAACCTCTGTTCCCAGGGGCTCCTAAGTTTGAACTGAGGCTAGGATCTTGCTCACCAGCTTGCTCCAATTTTCTTTATCACTCTTAGACAAAACTTTCAGTGCAGACTGAGTCATGGGCCCCATATATGAGTAACTACCAAAACCTAACTAGCCTGATCTAAAGAGCCACCTCCAAAATGAGTTACTCACCATGTCTTCAGGGTCTGGAATTTTCACCCCACTGAAGTATTGATTCATGCTAAATACTTGCTGGTGCCTGGGAATGAGATCCCCTTTGGACAAGAAGAGACAAAAGTAAGTGGGATTGCTTAGGAAACACAGGGCTGTGCTTTCCCTCTACAGCCTTGTGGACCTCTGCCTTAGGCTGCTAAGGTTATAGCTTTCCTCTCCTGTCAGGAAAAGCATCCACACAGCACAGCCTACACGGAACAGTGCCCTGTGTCAGGGACAGAAACTGAGAGCTTCAAGATTCTTGCCCTCTTAAGCTTACACTGTATTTGAAGACTCTAAACCAAAGGAGCTACAGGAAGGCCTGTAATCATCTTTTCCCATTTTGCCAGTTGCTGATCTATTAGAAACTTTGTCGTCTAAGGTTTAGAAGCACTTATGGTGTGAAACACTGAAACAAAGTTTCCTGTCAAATGAAGCCCATTCTTTAGCAATGGCAGACAAATGAGCTGACAGTAGCTTCATGTAAAGTCCTAGGGATGTTACTGTGAAAGACTTGTTCAAAAAACAGAATGAGGTGCTTCTCTGGGGCACAAATGGCCACTTTCTAGAGCAGAGGGGAAGCAGAGGCCTGCAGCCAGGAGCCTGTGGTGCTGCCAGCGAAGTGGCTATAGCCCCTGACTAGAGCATCTGAGTGGCCAGTGCTACTCGGTTCAGAACTTTACCTCTTACCCAGATCCAGAACCTTGCTCTAGTTTGGATAAGCAAGCAAAAATACAGCCTCTAGGGTGTTTGATTCCAATGTCTGAAAACACTGTAATGAAGCCCCTTAGCCTCTAGCTTTAAAAATGAATTACAGATACATGCACAGTGGAGACGTATGTCCCTGTGCTATCAAAGCCTCCTCACCAGGGCTGGAGTGGCAGAAGAGTGCCCTAAAGCCACTGGAAAGAACAGCCAAGGAAGGTTGAGTGACCCTGCGTGAGCTTCAAGGAGGCTCCAATGTACAAGACATTGGTGGAGATGATAAAAGTGAGAAACACCACCAGACAGTGGTGGCACGCCTTTAATCCCAGCCCTCCGGAGGCAGAGGCAGACGGAACTCTGAGTTTAAGGCCAGCCTGCTCTACAGGAGTATTTCCAGGACAGCCAGAGCTATACAGAGAAACCTTGTCTCAACAAACAAACAAACAAACAGACAGATAAACAAACGGAAACATAGTCACTCTCAGGCGGCCTTCAGTGCTTTAGGAAGACATAGCTATATGGTGATTGCTGATAATACAGGAGTTTATGGAGCAGAGAAAGTCTGCTTTAATTTGGGTTCCTTAGCAGAGTAGGATCTAACTCCTGGGTTTTGAAAAGAGCAACCACTGGTTATGGATCTCTTTAACTGTACCCTCCTCCCCTCCCTTCTCTCTTCTGTCTTTGCCATTCCCCTTAATTGTAGAGAAAAGGGGGGAACATGGCAAACAAGACTTTCTTCTTGACACTTAGAAGACTGAGGTTCTTCCTCTACTGTAGTCTGAATAATCCAAAACTTGTCAGGCAGGCTGCTGCAGTAAGGACATCTGAATGAATCACCTCATCCTAAGACAGGCTTGGCATCCCTAATTAAAAATTCTGAGACTGAGCGCCAACATGATCCTACAAGTAGGAGATGCCACACTCGACCCCATGTCAACAGTCAAACATAGGCACACTAAAACAATCATGTAAATGGACTTTAGGATATGTGAATAAAGTGAAATGAAACATGAATGAATTTTGTGTTTAGACTTGGGTCCCTTCCCTAAGATACCTCATTTAAACCTCCAATGTCATAAATGCTCTAGACCCAAGCTGTCTGGATGAAGGATATCAAGCACGTAACTGAAGCCGACCATGAAAGCAGTCTGTGACCAGCAGACTTTCTGTCCTTGCAGTATTTCTGTTGCCAAGATTAACACATTTAGAAGTTAAGAGGATATGACCTAAGCTCCAGAGATAAGTCTATATATCCTGGGCAATCAGTACATTTTCAATAATCATTCATTATTGTCATTTAAACAAACCATAGACACTTTTGGCTGTGAGCCTAGCCTTTAACAGCTGAGCCATCTCTCCAGCCCAACCATGGACACTTTTAATGGAGCCATTTCAGCCAGGCTAAGAAATTTCTGTTTCTTAAAGGTGTCTGGTGAGCAGGGAATGTGAGGTAAACTAGCTGGTTCTCTAAAAGTCAGGACAGAGCCGGGCAGTGGTGGCACACGCCTTTAATCCCAGCACTTGGGAGGCAGAGGCAGGCGGATTTCTGAGTTGGAGGCCAGCCTGGTCTACAGAGTGAATTCCAGGACAGCCTGGGCTACACAGAGAAACTTTGTCTCAGAAAAAAAAAAAAAAAAGATGTTAATATAAAAGTCAGGACAGAAACCACTTACCCAGGGTTTTCCTTATCAGATAGAGCTGATCCACGTCGGATTTTCCTGGCCACAGAGGTACACCGGACAGCAACTCAGCAAACACACAGCCAATTGCCCAGACATCTACTGGGGGACCATACTGCGTGTCTCCCACTAGCAGCTCAGGTGAGCGGTACCACCGGGTGGCCACATAGTCTGTGTAGTAGTCACCTGGTCCAGCTGGCCAGTGACGAAACATGGAAAACAGAATAGTGGAAGCCCAGGATCAAAACCGGGCAGGAAGAAACTAAGAAACAACATTTTTCCGAATTGTTGTTCTCAATGCTAGCTGCTTGTTGAAATTACTTGGATCTAGAATATTTTAAGATGCTGATGCTTGGGCTTCATCCCAGTCCAGTTAATCTGAACACTTGGAGAGGGCCCAAGGCTACCCGCATTTTTTTTTTTAAGTTCCTTGGGTGCTAATCTATAGCCAAGATGAAAAACCATTCATCTAAAGTAATACTTCTGGTAAGTATTGTTTTGGGGAGAAGTCGAGAGATTAGCATGCTTTATAGAAACTTCTGTGGTACAATTCACATATAGCATACATATCTAAACCATTGTGTGTTTATACATTTTTCAAGTTATATTCCATTACAAAATTTTGCAAGAACCGTAGTTTATAACAAGGTTATCCCCGAGGAAGAATACAAGAACCAGCTTTCTACAGTATCTAGACCAGCTATCATAACAAGAATGTTTCCTTTACATTGAAGAAGCTGTTGGTACTCACTGAGAAGCCGCGCAAACCCAAAGTCACAGAGCTTAATGACTGAGTGTTTGGTGATGAGAATGTTTTCCGGTTTCACGTCTCTGTGTATGCACTGGTTAGAAAAAAACAAACAAGAAACAAAACAAAATGTCATGAAGGAGCAGCCCTGATATCTACCATGAGTAAAGGGCTGGGAATAATTAGCAAATATTGGATACACCTTTTTAATCTGCCATTGACCTGTTGGATAAAAAAAAAACAAAACAGCAGACTAAAATAAACGTAGTTCTATACCTACGGACAGAATCATTTCAAATTCTTGAATGGCCCCAAAGACCAAGAAGTGTGATAGGAAAAATGACTGTCGAGAGCAAATAAAAAGATGTAAGACACCTGATTACGTTTGAATTTCAGATAAACGACTTTTTTTTTTCAGTGCCGGGGATCAATCCAGAACCTTATTCATGCTCTCCGCCTCGGACCTACACCTCCAACCCAACTAAAATGTTAAGTATATCTCATACAGTCTACATTAGAAAAAAAGAACTTCATATTTAACTAGGAGTCACCCCTAGCCTGCAGGCTGTCGGTGAAGGGGAAAGGACTGAAAAGCTTTAAGGCTGCAGCCTGTGGCAGAAACGACAGATTGGAGCAGAAGCTGGGTTCACTGGAAGGTGGCGTGGTTGGTAAACAGGACAAGCCCTGGGCCTGCTGAGATAAGCCAGGGAAGAGAGGGCGGGAAGCTCTTGCTTGCCAAAAGATCTCCCTTCCAGCTCCGACATTTGTCCTGACAAGATAAACAAGAGCTGGCTGCAGCCTCACCCTCTGGGGTGCGCCGTCGTCGCTAGATGTCAGCTCTGTCCCACCGCACAGTGGAGCTCAGCAGGCGCCTCCTGCATCCTGACTCACCAGCTGTAATCAAGCTACATTCTTTAGCAGGGTGAAGTCACTACCAAGAGGATCGCTTCAGAACTTCCACAGGACTTTCTTATTAAATGACAATGTCTTTGACAAATAAATAAATAAATTTCTTAAGTCAACAACTTTTAGTCAACAATTACATTAAAAATTGAGTTGGGACAAAATATTACTCCGGGTTCCTTGTGTTCCCTCCCTTCTCCCAAGGGTTTTCCTCTCTGCTGGGAAACGCTGGGTCTTTCTGCCGCCCAACTGACTGTTGGCCTGAAGCCTGCAACCCTTGAGGTTATCCTTGACTCTAGAATCCGGAAAGAGGACAGAGGTTCTTCGTGGGCGCAGCAGTTTCCACTCCAAGGGACGTTTAGGGTGAGAGAGCAACATTAGTGTTTCCCACCAGCATTTTTATTCTGGTAAAATGGAGGCGGGGTGGGGTGGATGCATTACCTTATAACCTACCTACCTATCTGGTTCTCAGTAATCGATGGCTCTGGGCTCTGAAGTCTTTCACCAGTCATTGTGCATTTTGCTATAAATAGGTCCTTCCATGAATGTCATGATGACATATAGGCAGACGGACTCAGAAACAAGAATGTGTCCCCCCCCCCCGACCCCCGCTTTGTTTGGGAATTGTTTCCAAGCTTCTGCTCTCTGCCCCCATCTCCATCAGTTCCCCCACACACACACCCGCCGCCCCTTAGCACGTGGAGCCCAGCAGAGTCTGCGGCTCTCCAGAGAGCTGTGGTATGCATTGTATTTATTTTCACTTTCCTCAGATCTTCCCCCACCAGGGCTGGCTGGAGAGCTTTCTCATCCTTTCTGCCTCCTCCTCTCCCCTTCCCTCTGTACCCTCCACTCCCGACTATCCCTCCTGCCACCTCTATGCTCCTATGCTGAAACTTGTTTGTTGGGAAAGTGCTAATCACCAATCAAAGAGTCTAGCAACCGGAAACATCCACTCTTCCTGCTGAGAAATGGCACTGTTTTTGTTTGTTTGTTTGTTTGTTTGTTTGTTTGTTTTTGGTGTGAGGTGTCAAACCCAAGGCTATGTGTGCTTGGCAAGAGGTCTAACCATGGAGTGCCTCTCTAGCTCTGACAAAGATTCTAGGATTCGGCTAATGAAAACCAAAATAATATCTGTTCTCACATTTTCTCCTTGTAAGCAATTTCAGAAAAACTTACTTGGGCAAACTCAGAGGGCATTTAACCCCTCAGGCCTAGGTGACCCGCAGTTGAGATGACCAATGGCTGGACCAATCGTGCTCGTGGCTAGAAAGAAACTCTAAAATTCCCCATCTGGGATTTTGAGTGTTTTTAGTGGTTGGAATCTGATCCCCTCCCCACCCCCACCCCCACCCACGTTTCTTTTTTGCTATATTGATTAATTGGTTGGTTTATTGATTGCAGTACTGGGAATCAAACCCAAGGCTGCATTCATTCTGGATAAATACTCGACCACACAACTGTGCTCCAGCCCAGGAAGTGGGTAGCTCTGTGTGGGGTGAGAGGGGATAGCAGATTTTTCAGCATCTATGAAGGCATATCACATGGGCAGTCTCCCACTGTGGCTCCCCCCAGCCCAGCTGTGGCAAGGAGGACCAGCCGCCCATTTAACACTCCTATCTCACCAAAGCAGACACTAGTACTCAGAGCCTACGACCCCACCCATTGTAACTGCAGCAGGCATCTGGGGTTACCTCTCCCAGTTCAAAGCCTTTTGGGGAAATCGACCCAATACAGACTTTCTAAATAAATGAGGTTCTTTCTAACCTTACATTTTACAAATTAAAAAAAAAAAACTAGTTTCTTTCAATGATTTTTATAATGTATGTTTCCATAAGATCTGGGTACAAAGGAATAGCTAAGCTGCCATCTTTAAGTCTCTTACCACACCTCACCCCAGTCTTAAGAAGATTTACATGAAAAAAATTATACCCACAAAGGTGTGATATGAACTTTGAATGAGGCTCAGTCTTGGCCTGAGTGATCAAAGCGGATCAGGAGACTTACATTGTGATTATGGCAGAAATTTACAGCCTGTAGTGTCTGCCAAGTTATGTTCTTCACGAGAGGCTCTGGTACCCTAATAAAAACAAAAACAACAACAAAAAAAATAGCACAGACACATTCTTTACTCTAGCCATGGAATTCAGCTCAAGAAACCCAATCCAAACCAGGCTAGGCTTCGGTACTGAAAAATCCCAGGAGACCCAGGCTCCTCTGGATCCACAGGCCATCAGCCCACAAATCCAGTGTTGGTAATGTGTGTCCAGCACACTGCTGAGTTGTAGGGGAAGCAGGTTAGCAAATACACAAACATGGATCTTTTAAAAAAAACAAAAAACAAAAAACAAAAAAAAAATCAGGGAGGAACGGTGACACCCACAGTGATTTCAACAAGTATTTATTACCTGGGACTGCCTGAAATTTGAACTCCTTCTCAGTTTCTTTCTTTGTCTTGTTTTGTTTTTTAGAGGGTTTTTTAGAGGGTCTTGCTTAGGTGGCTCGGAGACCTAAATCTCCATACCATCTTGTATTAGCCTTCAAGATTACAGGCACGCAGCACCGCCAAGCCCCATTTCTATACTGAGGACCTTGCTAGTTAATATACAGCACAAAAGATGGTGTGGTCTTTGCTCCGGTTGCTCCAAACCGAGACCCTGAAGCAAGACTTCCGTTTGTGTGTGCAGCGTCTCCAGATGCCTGAGTCACTTGCTCTGTTTGTTTTCTTGGAAGGGAGAGGAATGAGATTTTACTGAGACAAGGAGGTTTATATTGCATACCATATAACTAAAGTTCAAAATAACTGAAGACACAGATGAGCATCGTGTTCCTTTCCCACACTGCACCTCTCTCTCTTCTCATCCCTTTCCTCCAGCACAACATCTAACCATGCCACTTCCCCATCCCTTCCTCACAGAATCACTGCCGATTTAACCATGGCTGCCGGAGTGCAGATGCCGCGTGTGATTTGAGCAAAAGCAGGTTACTGTACAAGACAAGGAATGATTAGAAAGAAAGTTGTTCTGGAGCAGAGGCTCTCCCTAAAGCGTAGCCTGACTGTGGTACCCGGTCCTAAACAGGGCTGCCTTTTCTGGTCTCAGTGGGACAGGATGAGTATAATCTGGCAGAGATTTGATTCACCAGGGTTGTGGGATACTCAGGGGTGACCCCACCCTCTCAGAGAAGGTGAAGGAGGGATAGAGGGGTAGACTCAGTGAAGGGGGAACTGTGAGGTCGGGGAGCACTTTGGATGTAAATTAATTAATTAATTAGAAAAAAGTTGTTTGTTTTTGGAGACAACCGCTGGACACACATGCTAAACTTATTATTTTTATGAATCAAAAATTAAATGGTGTTGTGGCCCTCAGCCAAAATTACTATGTAGCAGACCAGGGAGGAAACTATGTAGATGTGTTAAAAGTGATCACACAAAGTCACTTCTGGCCCTTGGTAGAGGCCACAGGCCACTGTAGTCACAGACCAGATGTGCAGGAAATCCTTTCAGGCAAATCAAAGGATGCTTGGACAGACCCAGGGACAGCTTGCCGGAAATGGAGAGGCCACCTCCAGGAAGAATGGCCAGGACATTTTTGGATTAAGTCTGTTTTCAGACTTGAGGTAGCTTCACACCAAATCCTCATCCTTGTTCTAGAGACACGTAGGCACAAACCTCAGGGAAACTCACCTGTCAGGAAAAGTGACCTAGAAAAATACAAGTATGAACTGGGCTTTAAAGGTTCCACAGCACCTATCTTTTGTCCAGAAAAATGAATTGTGCTTATTCAATGACTTTTTAACATAAAGTTAAAAGTGCTAGGAAACTTCAGTCTCCAAAGATATTTCCCAAAATAAATAATGCAAAAGGAGTATTTACAAGTGAATTATGATTGCATATCATTAGTATTCCCCTAATACTGAGCACACTATCTGAGCACACTATGTGAGCACACTATGTGAGCACACTATGTAAGCACACTATGTGAGCACACACTATGTGAGCACACTATGTGAGCACACTATGTGAGCACACTATGTGAGCACACTAT